AAGATATAATTATAGTATTATTTTAAAAAAAAAAAATGGCATCAAACTTTTTATTAGATGGAGCCTCAACATTTGATCCATTCAGTATAGAATTTCCAATTAATAGATTCAATGATAATCCTGCTTTTTTTATACCACCAATAAAATATACAAGTAAGTAAAAGAATTAAAAAAAAAAAAAAAAATTAACAAAATTAACAAAACTCTTCTTTCACTCAAATTTAGTATGCTTACCACAAAAAGACCACTATATAGTCGAAAGACAACTCAATTTAGAGCAAAAGCAATATGTTTATAATTTTGACCATAACGTTAAAGTCGAAGGATTAAAAGACCCAGTCCCAGGCTTGCCACCATGTTTTAGATTAGTAGCCCCAACTTATGATTTACCAAAACACGAGAAATTAGAACAAACATGTCTAATGCCACACGGAATAAGCTTATTATTTACAGATGTAAGAATTTTTTTTTTTTTTTTTTTTTATAGAATAAAGTTTTATTAATTTTCTTTCTTTTTTAGTTCCAATCAAAAATAAATAATTTTATAGTTGGAAATAAACCAGATTATTTAAGATCAGTATCTGAATATTTAAAAATGATAGTTTTACCAGATCCACCAAAAATTATTGCACGTCAAACAACAGAAAGCTTAAATCAATTTGAATGGTTAAATGATGAAGAGTTTGGTAGACAAAGAGTACAAGGTTTAAATGCTGGCCAATTAGTAAAGCTAAATCAAGATAAAGTTGACAAGTTAAATATATCACATAAATTACAACTCGAAAAGATGAGACCAACATTCAACATGATCCTCAAAGAAAAACTTAATTTTGATTTCGAAAGCGCTCTTAGTAATGGTTACTTGTATATGGTAGACTATGAAATCTTTGATACTGCCGACTATATCGAAGCTGCTAAAAAGAAAGGAAGATATGTTTGCTCGCCATTAGCCCTCTTTTATTTTAACACAAATGATGAAAAGCTATATCCATTATGCATCAAAATTTTACAAAATGATGAGAATTCACCAGTTTTCACACCAGCCTCATATCCACCTGCATCATGGGTTTTCGCCAAATTATGGTTTCAATCTGCAGATGGCCAACATATGGAGTTTATTACTCACCTCTATGAATGTCATTTATTAGGTGAAGTTTTTGCAATTGCTACTCATCGTCAACTATCAACATCTCATCCAATATTCCAACTTTTACATCCACACTTTAACCTTTTATTAGATATCAACTTGAGAGCTAGAAGAAATCTTTTATCAAAAGATGGTCCAATCGAATCATTATTAGGCGGAGGAAGTATTGCTGCTTTAAAATTAATTGCAAAACATCATAAGGAATACTTATGGAGAGAAAATACTTTTATTGCTAGGTAATTATTAAATACATTTATAAATTAAATAAATATAATACTAATTTATTTTATATTAGATTAAAGAAAAATGACCTTTATAATGATGATAAAATGAATAAATATTATTATAGAGAAGACGGTATTTTTATTCACAAAAATCTTTATAAATTTGTTTATAATGTTTTGTCCAAATTCTATACTAGCGATATTGAAATAGAACGTGACTTTGAACTACATGCTTGGATCGAGGATATAAGTAGTGATTGGGGTGGCACACTTAAAGGTGTAGTCGAGGGTGATAAAATTAAAAAACTTGAAGAGATTGTTCAATTGGTTTCAGATATTATATTTAGAGTCACTGTAGAACACTCTATTGGTAATCACGGTCAATGGGATATGTATGGCTTCACCCCAAATGTTCCTGGTGCTTTATATATGGATCCAACTAAAATTACTGAAGGCATTCCAACTACATTCGAAATGATTTGTAATGCTCTTCCACCCAAAAAAGAAACAAAAGATCAAATTGCAATAACTCATCTTTTAGCAAATACTGATACCGGTCTTCCAACCTTTTTAAATACCGAATATATTTTTGAAAGTGATATGGCTGTACCAAACTTTAAAGAAATTACTCAAAAATATAAATTAGAAATGGAAAAACTTTCAAAATCAATTGAAGCAAGAAACAATGTTGTATATATGCCATATAGCTACATGAACCCAAGTAAAGTATGTGCATCAATCTATATTTAATCAACAAAAAACTAAAACTAAAATTAAAAAAACAATTTAATATTTAAATACAAAATAAATAGTAATAATAATAAAGTAATACTACAAATAAAAAATCTTTCTGTAAATATTTTAAAAAAAAAATTATTTATTTAAATTTCTTTTTTTAAATAATATTATCTAATATACCCATGGAATTAAAAAATTAAACCCTATTTGTATTTCTCACTTTTATAAAAAAACTATATAAATAATATTATAATATAATAATAGATTCAAAATTAAAATTTAAGATTAATGATTTTAAATAAAAAAAAATTTTGAATTTTATTTAAAATAATATATTTATTTTTTGTGGATCTAAATATTACAAATATCTATATAATTTAATGAACCACCATCAAATTTACAATTGTCTTGATTTTCATAATGGCTTTCATGATAAATTCCTCCAGTGCAGCCTGGTTTGGAAAAAGTTGAAACTGTTGTTGTTGTTTTATTACAAGAAACACTTTGTGAATTAGAATATATGCCAAATCCAATGTTTGTGCATTTATCAACATATTGGTAATCAATTTGAAGGAAATCCTTGTCAAAGTCACCATTACATTCACCACTATAGGTTACACTGAGGTAAGTATCGGATGGTACTTCATAGTTTTCTAAAATTGATAATTTAAAAGTATTGCCATAGCCTAAAACACATGAAGATTCACAAGAACCACTTGTATGTTCTACAATATTGAAGATATTTCCTTTTTTGGTTTTAAAAAAAAATAAATTAGAAAATAGTTTTTAATTATCAATTAAATATTTTTTTAATAACTACCTTTACAACTAGAATCGTCATAAATAGTTTCAAAAATAGTATCTTGTTTAGTTGTGAAAATAACTGATGTTAGATTATATGTAACACATTGTGATTCTTGATATAGTATTGCACCAAAATAATTTTCACCCATTTCGCATTGGGGATTGACAGGTGGTTCTCCTGGACAAATACCCATGTAATTATATTGTTCATATAAAATATATGATGATGTTGATTTTAACAATGAAATTGAAAGAATTGAAAATAATAAGCTTTTTAAAATATTCATTTTAATTATTTTTTTATGTTTTATTAATTTGATTTTAAAAAAATGAATTATATTTTTTTTTTTCTTTATATAAAAAATAAAAAAATAAAAAAAAAACAAAAAAATAAATATATAAATTTATAAATAAAAAACTTGAATAAATAATAATAATATCAAGCTTCTATTACTTCGTTGATAATCTATCCAACGGAATACCAGGTTAAAAAATCTATTTTGTAACTTCTATTTGGTTCTTTGTTTTTTTCATACATGTAAAAGCATATTTGAAATACCGTTTCATTTTTTAATCAATTTTTTTTTTGTTGGAAAATTTTTGGTGTTAGGTTTGAAATTTTATTGCTATGAATATTTTTTCAAAGCTCGGAAATAAATTTTCTAAAATAATTTTTTTATCTTAAAAATTCAAAAAAAATATTTTTTTCATAAACAACAGACATATCAATTTCTAAATTATCTTTATACATTTAAAAAACATTCCTATGGAATATTTTTTTCATTGCAATATTTTTTATTTTTTTTTATTTATTTTATTTATCAAAAAAACTCGAATTTAAAAATACACCAGTATATTCCTCATCAATATCTCAGACATAAATTAAACCAAATACCCTTTAGGATTTAAATAGTTTTTTATTATAAAATATCACTAATAATAGAAAATTTCATATATAGTTTTTAAATATGGTGTTTTCCTCCAAACTTTTTTTTTTTTTTGATAAATAAAAAATTTAAAATAATTAAAATGAAAAAAGTAAGTTGTTATTTCATTTTCTCTTTTTTTAGGTGCAGCTATTACATCAAAAATCACAAGTTACTATTTATTCTGTAATTTTTACAACCAAACAAATACCGTTATTGAAAATATTTTAGATTAGAAGGTAATTTTTAAATTTTTAATTTCTATTTTTTTTTTTTTTTTAAAAATAAGAAATATTTTTGACACAATAGAACATACAAGTGGTTATTATTTTAAATAAAAAACTTGATTTCTTTTACACCTGTATATTTTGATTTTATTACAAATTTAATTAATTATTTATAAATTTTTCATTTTTTTTTTAAATGTGTGTTGGTGGGAAATTTTTTTTTTTTTTTTTTAATTTTCTTTTACACATTATAATTATTTATAAATTATAAAATATATATCAATGATAAAACACAATGATAAAATGTCTTTGTGCCAATAGTAGTTTTACATTTATTTATATAGTAATTTTTTTATTTATAAATATAAATAATATATATGGTGTACCAAGTGATTTAGCATGTTCTATTAACTTATGCAGCAAAATAGGGGAGCCATGTACATATGACCCATCATCCAATAGGTAACTATGGTTAAACATATGTGCCCAATAAAAAAGAGCTTTATTAATTATAATTTATAGTGGTTTAGAATGTTATGTAGAGGATTTTTGTTTTAATAATACATGTGTTGAAGGCATTATAGAATATGGTAGATGTACAACGAGCAGAGATTGCAATATAGGATATTCATGTGTACCATCCCATTTAAATAGTAATGTTAAAATATGTGAAAAAGCATTTTTTGTGGAATATGGTAGATTTTGTAATAAAACATTAGAATGCACTCATAATTTGGAATGTATAGAAAACAAATGTTCTACACCTGACTATGGTTGTGTAAATGACAACCAATGTGACCCCAATTCTATATGTGTCGATGGCAAATGTAATTACTATCAATTAAAAGTAGATATATCAATATGAAAACTTTATTCTATTCCATTTTAAAATACACTAATAATATTATTTATTTTAGGGAGATGAATGTTTTATACAAAAATCTTTTTCTTGTAGTAATGGATCATTTTCATGTTCATTAAAATCTTCAAACCTATCTTCCATTGGAATATGTAGGAGCGTTATAAAAGATGGTACTCCATGCCTAACATCTAAATATACATGCGACTGGACTATAAACCAATATGTAAGTATAATTTATAAAAAAAGAAAACCAAAGCTTTATTAATTTAAATATTTTAGTGTAGAGCAAATGAACCAGGTTCAGTATTGGGAAAATGTGTAACTGCCCCAACTAATACATATGCAACATGTATATCAAAACAAGACTGTAAAGAATATGAGTTTTGTAAATGTGATGCCCGTTCGGGTGTTGGTTATTGTGTTCTTTTAGCTACTTTTGTTGGCAACTATTGCAAAAAAGCAGCATTGGTAAATAATTTTATATTTATAGTTTAATACCTTTTATAAATATTTTATGTATTAACAGTTTATAAAGATATATATAGAGTGTTTTAAAAATTCAAATTGTACGCAACCGTTCTCAGTCAATCCGTTTTCATGTGTTAATGTACATTGTAGAGAGGAGGCAAGGTGCTTTTCATCATTTTGTACAGAGAACTTATTACCCCTGGATGTTTGCAGAAAGGATATAGGTTGTAATTTAGACGTTTTTAACAATAATGGACTTGGAGCTTTTACAGATATAGGTCCATTGGATGTTACTTCCAATTCAATTCCACTCCAATATTATCAAAATTTTATAATCATTATATTTATAAATATTTATATATTATTTTTTTAAAAATAATAATTTATATTTTGTTTTAAATATAAATTTAAAAAGTAGATTTTTAAACATATTATTATCAAAATCTATAGATTTATTTTTAATTTGTATTAAAAAAAAAAAAAATTATTTTTTACTTAATTTTTTTTCCAATACAAATATATATGTAATTATAAATTTTTTTCACACACATACCCCAAAAAAACACACAAAAAAAAATTTATTAATTTAATAAAACTCAAACAATATTGTTTCAAAATTAACATCATTTATTATTATTATTTTTATTATTATTAAAATTACTATTATTATAATTTTTTTATTATCATGGTATTTAATTTAATATGATAATTAAAAATAGTCTAGTAAATATTTATGTAAACTATTTTATATTATTTTTCTTTTTATTACTTTTTGATAATAATGTAGGTCAACAACAAACTATGAACCCAGATTTAACCGACTTATTGAATGATGATTTTTGTTCTTCTAATTTTTGTGCTAGAAGAGGTGAATTGTGCAGTTCTGGTAATATAACAACGTAGGTATACAAATATTATAAACTATAAAGAAAAAACTAATTATTTTAAATGTAAAGAGGATTTGATTGCTTTATAGAAGACAGATGTTTAGATGGAAGATGTGTTATGGGAATAGGCGAAAATGAAAACTGTAATAAAAGTGTGGATTGCCAATTTGGACTTTCCTGTGTTCCTAATGATGAAGGTGTGATGAATTGCGTTAAGGCATTTTATATAGATTACGGAAATAGCTGTAATATAACAATACAATGTTCACATAGTTTAGAGTGTATTGATAACAAATGCTCCACACCATTAATAGGGTAATGAATAAATAGATCATTTAATATTAATAATAATTAAATTACTAAATATAATTTTAAAAAAAGGTGTTTTACAGATTTGCAATGCGCAGAAAACGAAATATGTGTTAATGGAACATGCCAGGTTTATATATTAAAAGAAAACGAATGCTTTATTTTCAAATCGCTTTCATGTAAGCATCAATTTAAAACATGCGTTTTAAAATCATTTAATATATCATCAATAGGTATATGTGTTGAAGATGTAATAGTAGGTTCTCCTTGTATAACTTCAAAATTTTCGTGTGATTGGGGTTTGGGTCAATATGTAAGACTATTTATTATTTAAAAAATATCAAAAAGACATTGTATTAACATTTCGATATATTATTTATTTAGTGCAAACCTCTTTCATTAGGTTCTTGTAAGTTTGTTTTAAAACTATATGATGATGATGATGATGATGATGATGATGATGATCTTCTAACATATTTTTTGTATGTAGCTGTAGGAAATTGTACACTAAGCGGGGAAAACAAATTCAATATTTGTACTTCTAAAAATGATTGCGCTTATAATGAATATTGCAAATGCGATCCAAATAGTGGTGTTGGGTACTGTGTTCTTAGAGGGACATTTATTGGACGATATTGTAGAGAAGCTACTAGAGTAGGTATTTTTAAAAGAAAAGCCAGCAAAAATAAAATAAAAAGATTATTAATAAAACAATCTATATAGGTTTATCTGCAATGTTTTCTAAAATCAAACTGCACCCAACCATTTACAGCCAATCCATATTCTTGTGTCAGAATAAATTGCCGAGAAGAGGCCCAATGCTATTTGACACTGTGTTCAGAGAAACTGTTGCCTTTTACTCCTTGCACGCAAGCGAAATGTAACATACCGTTCTTTGTAGAAGAAAAAGTTCCTGGTCTAACTATAATTTCAGTTTCATCAGAAAACTTTAAAATCCCAAAAAATAGTTTTATATTTTATATTATTTATATCATATACATTATATTGTTTTAAAATAAAAGTAATTATATATTTTAAAATATTTAAATATTTAAAATTATTTTGTATGGGTGATGGATTATTTGAAAAAAATTATTTGAAAAAAATTTATAAATTTTGTAAATTTTTAATAAATTAATTTTTTTTTTTTAATTTGTTTTTTAAATTTTTAAAAAATTTTTTATCTGTCACAATAAAATAATAATTTAATAAAATGATTGAAAACCATCAACAAGAGTTTCCACAACAACAACAACCAAACTCTTCTATTTATATAAAATTTAATAATAATATTAAATTACAGTATAACCAAATCTATGATTCTTTAAAAGAATTTGGTACCATTACCAACATTAAAATATGTAATGGTTTTGGTTTTGTAGACTTTGAATCTACAGAGTCAGCTCAAAAAGTTTTAGCCCATTTTTCAATAAATAACAATAAACTAAACATTGATGGAAATATTATATTTATAAAAGAAAAAAAAGAAAAATTAAATAATAATAATAATTCACTCTTTGATGATAATAATAATAATAATAACAATAATATCAATGTTGATAATATAGACAACAATAGTAAAACTAATAATAATATAGACAATAATACAGATAATAATTATGACATCAAAAATAATTTTTTATTTTTTAAAATATTTAATAATATATTTTTAAAAAGTTTAATTTTTAAATATGTAAAACTATACAATATTTATCATGGGCAAAGAAGTTTTGAAAAGAAATCACTTATAGAATTTAAAAATAAAGAATATCTATATCAAATTAATTATATGCTATTGGATATTAATACTATTAATAATAGTTGTTTTGGTAATATTAATAATATTATTCAAAATTATCAAAATAACCAAAATGATAACGTTCAACTCGAATCATTTTTACCAATCAATATTAAAAAAATCGAATTTTCATCAAAATATGAAACCCATTCAATTAATCTCGATTTACCAAATATCCCACATTGGATAGAAGTTGTTAAAATTCAAAAATGTTTTAAAGTTAACTTTTCAATTTTCAAATCAGCATCAAGTATCCATACACTTCATTTGGATTGCCAAAGAGAGATTTTGATCGAACCAAACTCCTTACCATCCACACTAACCAAACTTACAATAAAAAATTACCAATTTAAAATAACAAAAGATTTAATACCAAGTAACATCAAGATACTCCATTTAGAAAACGAATTAAATGGTCCAATTGAAAAAGATGCATTACCGGAAACAATTACTCATCTCACCATCAAACACCTACCAAAAGACTTTATATTTCCAAAACAACTACTTTATTTAAAGGTAATAGGAATCTATTTACATGAAATCGAGGAAAATATGTTCCCAAATACTCTAGAACATCTAGACTTTTATTGCAATGCCCAACATTTTAACTGTACTTTAGGAAATAACCTGAAATACTTTCACATATTTACTGGAGGGTCCATTAGTGAAGGAATTTTACCAAACTCCCTCGAAGAATTACATATTGCTTTTGGTCAAAAGAAATTAAGATCAATACCTAAAAACATTAAGTCCCTTAGTCTTTCTGGCAAATTCAATTGGAGTATTAAAGGCTTTACAAAGATTCCCGAATCAGTAACAACCTTATCACTGGGTTATCTATTCAATAAACCACTTTGTAAAAATGAATTTATTGATTGCAAATACTTAACATCTATCGATTTTGGTCTTAGCTTCAATCAAGAACTTCACCCAAACCAATTTCCCGAAAGCCTTACTTATCTCAGCTTTTGTTCCTTTAACAATGGTGGTTTACCATTGACAAAAAGAAACATATTCCCATCAAGTTTGGAGTATCTCGATCTAGGCTCACTATTTGACCAACCCATAGGAATCGATACATTTCCAAAATCTGGTAATTTAAAAACTCTTAAGCTAGGATCAAGATTCACCCATCTCATTTCAACCAAAGGCAATATTATACCCAGTAGTATAACTTTTATGGATAACTCAATTATTTTTTATAGTCATTTACTAAATCTAATTGTAACCAATCAAACATTACTAGAAATTGAATTAAGCTCATCAAATTGTGATTTAATTCTAAATGATCCACGAGTAACATCATCCATAAAAAAGCTAACACTATCACAAAAATTCTATAAAGTTTTAAATTTAGATAATTTTACTCAAATAGAATCATTAGTAGTATATGGCAGGCCACATTTAATTTTTAAAGATAAAATTAATATAAATGGTTCATTAAAAATAATAGAAACTCCAATCGAAAATTCATTTTTTATAGATTATTTATTCGAATATTTAAATAGTAATACTAATAATAATAATAATAATATGAATAATAATAATAATAATAATAATAATAATATGAATAATAATATGAATAATAATATGAATAATAATATGAATAATAATATGAATAATAATAATATGAATAATAATGATCATAATATTATAAAATTATTAAAATTAATTTAATCATTTTTTTATATTCATTGTAAATTAAATTATATTTTTTTAAAAATCTAAATAAAATATAACCATATATAGTTATATAAATTTTTTTTTTTTTTTTTTTATTTTTATTTTTTTTTTTTTTTTATTTTTTTTTTTTTTTTTTTTAAATTTTAAAAAAAAAATTTTTTATTTATTTTTTTAAAATTTAAAATTTAATTTATTTATTTATTTCATTTATTTTATATGATTAATTTTTTATTTGAAAGAGAAATAGGTAGATCAAATGAAAGAAAAGAAAGATGGGATCAAATAAATAGAAATTTTCATCATTTAGATCTATCAGTTTATAGACAAATACAAACTTATAATAAAGGTCCCATCAACCAAATGGATATTGATGTAGCCGAAAATCGATAGTATGTTATAATATTAATAATATTAAATAAAAATCAACTTGATAACTAATAATAAATTTATTATTATTATTTTTATTTTTATTTTTATTTTTATTTTTATTTTTATTTAGTTTATTATCAGTATCGGGTGATGGTGTTATTCAAATTTATGACCTTTATGAAAATTTATTAAATAATAAAATCAACGAAAATAGAAATGAAGAAGTGTTTACAAATAAGATCGAATTTCAACCAATACTTAATATAAATAGAAAGAATAGTCAAATTCAAAACAATGTGAACCAATATAGTAATACACTACTAAAAGGTATTTCCACATGTCAATGGTATCCAATGGATACTGGTATGTTTTTTACAGGTGGTTTAGATGGCTGTGTGGATATATGGGATACAAACGAAGCCATGATATCGCAAACTTTTAATTTAGAGTATCATATTAACTCTATATCCTATTCAATAATCAACAGCTCAAGCCTAACAATAGCTGCAGCCACTGCCGACCAAAAAGTTAGAATTTGTGACATACGTACCAATAGCTCGGTTCATTGCTTAACAGGCCACCGTGAAAGTGTTATTGCTGTTAAATGGTCGCCCTATAGTCCCTATTTGATAGCTACTGGTTCAAAAGATAAAACTATAAGATTATGGGATGTACGTAGAAGCGATACATTTTTATTAGCCTTTGATCAATATAATGGTGGTAGTGATAGTATTGCGAGTAGCAGCAACGACAGCAGCACATTTAGTGACATGAACGAAAATAGTGATAGAAACAATTTAAAACAAACCAAACGATACCGACAAAAACTACATAAACCAAATACAATCCAAAGTGGTAAAAATTCAGTTTTAGAGAAAAAGAAAGATCAAATTCAACAATACTCACACAATCAAGGTGTAAGAAGAGAGGTTCCATTTGCACATAATGGAACTATTACCTCACTAGCATGGACTCCTGATGGCGAACATATAGTTAGTACTGGTAATGACAGTAAAATACATTTATGGGATGTTCAAAAGGGTAAAAAAGTATTAGTAGACTATCCGCATTCACATAATGTAAATAAAATACCAAATCAAATGTCGCTCTCTTCTGATGGCAAATATATTATTCATCCAAATTCCAGAACCATCCATGTCTACGAAACTGCAACTGGCAAACTTGTTAGGCAATTAAAAGGACACTTTGAAAGAGTGAATTGTTGTGTATATTATCAATATGATGAAGCTATTATAAGTGGTTCAAATGATAGATTAATACTATATTGGGATACCTCAAATGATGACCAAAATGAAAACATAGAATTTATAAAACAATCAAAAAAAGACAATTTAGAAAAACAATCATCATTACTATATAATCATGATGATAGCGATGAAGAAAATAATAATAATAGTAATAGCAATATAAATAACAATAATAATAATATAAATAAAATAATCTCAACACAGAACCCAACCTTACCAGATGAGGACAACTGGAGTGATGAAGAACAAAATTAAAAAAATAAAATAAAAAAAAAATAAAAAATAAATATTTTAAACTGGTGTAAATATATGCAAATGTTAAAAAAAAAACTATTTTCATTTTCCTTTTCATTTTTTATGATAATAAAAAAAAAAAAACTGTTGAAAGAATAATCATATTAAATTTATTAAATTGGTGTTCTAATTTGTAATAAGATTTAAAAAAAAAAAAAAAAAAAAAAAAAAACATATGACTTTTAATTGTTTAATAGACAACTTAAAAATCATTAATGTGCTAATAACTGTTTAGGAAATTTTACTAACAAAGGTATTCAATCCTAAAAATATAACCCAAAATCTTTTGGTGGTAGAATTATGTGTGTATAAATTATAAAAACACAAACACTCAAATTATTTGTATTTAGAAGGGGTTTTGAATTGAAACCAAATTAAGTTTTATTCTTTTTTATTATTATTTATTTAATTTTTTGTTTTTGATTTTACATAGTTACTTTTACCCCACCTCCCAACCCCCATGCTTTTTAATTTTTTTTTTTTTTAAAAATTTCTAATTTCTTACAAAATTTTTAAAAGTGGGTAAACCCACCTACCATTTTCCAACAGATATATTACCTATCTACCCAAATACTAAGTATTGTAATACCCTAATTTTCTTTGAGTTCATTAACAATGATTAAACAACACGTTAAAATGGTTATTAAATTACTAAAGGTTTATTATGAAATCATATATAACGATATAATTAATACGAATTTAATATTGTATACTTTTAAAAAAATTCAAACCAATATTAATTTAAGTTTTTATTAATAGAAACTTTTGGTAATTTTTTTTAAATTGATATATTTTATCCAATTTATAATCTTTATAATTAAAACATTACTAAAGGAAGTATTGGGGGTCATCACAATTTCATAAACAAAAAAAAAAAAAAATAAAAAAAAAATAAAAAGAAAAATATTTCTACTTAAAAAATAGCTCAACGTCCCCTCCAATAAAAAGAAAAATGAATATGATAAAAATAGACACAGACTCTATTTATAACTCTTATAAAATTTTTTTTTTTTTTATTTATTTTTTTTTTATTTCCATTTTAAAAATACAATAAATAGAAAAAAAAAAAAATTCATTTTCTTATACAATTTGAATATTATTGAATTTCAATATATTTACTAATTACTTTAAAAAAAATATTAGCATGGGATCTTTAAACTACAGAAGCACAGATGAATATTATTCATTTCTTTTATATCTAGAGCTTAAAGTTGGTAAATATTTTGACATATTTGTAAATGGTGAAAGAATTGAAAAAGTTGCCGAAGATATGTCATTGTATAAATGCAAAAGTAAATATTAATATTAATTAAAATGGTAATAAAAAATAAATATAAAAAAAAAACTAATTTATCTAAAAAATAATAAATAATAAATTAGGCGGTACACTCGAATTTGTATGCATTGATATTTCAAAAAAAAGAAAAAGAAAATCAATCAATGGCTTTTGGAAACAGAATGGAGAAGAAAACTTCTTGCCTGTTAAACTCTCTGATTCAAACTTAAAAACCACAAAGAGAAACTTTACAAAAATTTCACATTGCGGAACCGAAATCATCAGAGATAAAAGCTTCAAGTGTTGGGAGTACTCTTTATTCAACGGAGGGGACCAGTATAATTACATTTAAGACATTACCTCAATC